CCCCCCCCCCCCCGCCCCGGGCCCGGCCCAGGGGAAGGGGAAAGTTTGGACTAAATTATATCCTCATGACTCATGCCACGACAGGCGCTCGCCTCCCCCCCCAACTCCAGCACTGTCAGCACCGAGGGGCACCAACATCAGGCTCAGAGCACAGGGGCTGAGCGCATCAGCAAAGAGTTTGACCCCAAGTGCTGTGGTGTTCTCAAGAGCACAGCGGATTTCTGACAAAATCACCTTCAGTGAACATCCTCATTTACTCTGAATCATTCTGAACAGTAACATACTTCAGCCCAGCCTGAACTTTGTGCTTAGTCTCTTTTCAGGCCACCACTTGAAATGCATAAGGAGTGAGAGGGTGGGGAGGGGGGCTGCAGCAAACCGCTTTCTCTCCGCCGGCATTACACAACGCCCATTTTTACACTGTTGACATAATTATTTGGCAGCATGCTGCATCCTGAACAAACAGCAGCAAGTACAAAGCCACACCGAGCCACCTCCAGTCACAGCCGAACACGAACAGCGCCGAAACGTGAAATCAGCGCTTCGGGAGGCTCGTTTCAGAGTCTGTGACAGACCCAGACCGAACTCCTGCAGTAAGAGGCGCCGGGCGACGCGCGGACCCGGCACTGCTCGGCGGCCCCGCGGCTGTTCCACCTTAAGGCGGGCGCTGCCGCCCCTCAGCCGGGCCCCGCGGGCTGGCGGCGGCCCCGAGCCCGCAGCCAATCCCCGGCCTCCAGCGCGGCCCCGGCCCCGCGCTGCCCCGGCCCCGGCCCCGCGCTGGAGCGGGCGGCACCGCGGCGAGGGCGGCCCCGGAGGGAGGCCGTGGAGTGAAAGCCCTGGGGCTCCGAGCGCTCCTCCGTCCTGCATATTTTTTTTTTTCCCAGAATTACTGGATTCCATAATTCAGGCGCTGCAGCAACTCTCCTGTGAGGAGACAGCTGAGAGTGCTGGGGGCTGTGCAGCCCGGTCTCATCAGTGACAGCTGTTGTCAGCACTGCCCAGTGCCAGGACCGAGACAGCGGGCCCAAAGTGGCGCACAGGAGTGAGCACCAAGCAGCGCCGCGGTGCCGTGCGGGTGATGCACCCTGGCACGGGGTCTCTCCTCGCTCCAACGAGATGGCCAGCCGTCACCCGGGGATTGGAACACGGGCAGCTTCAGAAGCCCCCTGCTCCTATCTTTCTGCATGCTGCCTTCAGTTTACTTAAATCTCAAAACAGACCTGTGCATTGATAGTAAACACTTTCCTATGGTCTTCCATTCAAGATTCTCACTTAAGGGCAGAAACTAACCTGTTTCTGCAACCATTTCTGTACTGCTTGCAGGCTTAAAAAAACCACGACCCAAAGCTACTGAACCATTTGGCGGAACGGTTTTAAACTAAAAGAGGGGAGATTTAGATTAGATGTCAGGGAAATTTGCCACTGTGAATGCAGAGAGGCGCTGCAAGAGGCTGCCCAGAGAGCTGTGGAACACCTCCAGGGATGGGGCATGAGAGCTGGGCTGGACAGGCTCTGGGCAGCCTGATCAAGTGGCTGATCGAGTGCTTTGCAGCCCCGCCTATGGAGGAGGGGTTGGATGATCTCTGAGGTCCCTTCCAACCTAAGCCATTCAATGACTCTTATTAACCACATCAACTTCACAATTTTCACAAATGCAACAGTACCTGCAGCACATTTCAAAGCTGCGTACAAACCAAACCCATAAGGCCATAGATAGTTATGGTGAAACACACTTACTTCTTCTGCCCTCTCTGTTTGCGCGGCACTGAGTTTTGCTTTGGAGTCCTCTCACAAGCTCCATCGGCGCTGTCGCTGGCATCGCTCTTGTTTAAAGGCTGGTTCTTCCATGGGATGACATACCCAGGAGTTGGGCTGAATTGCTTTAAATCTCCTTGTCCTAACGAGCTCCGTTCACCACAGTAACAAAAGGCGCAGAGTTGTTCGCTGTGGGAGGGAAGATGATTATTTGGGAGGGGGAAAACAGCAGAAACTGTTCCATTCAAAATCAACTTCTGTGCCAGGTCAATCCTTCATATCAAAACAACGGCAGTTCCTGAGTGCTGTCAGAACCCAACATTATGGAAATCCATTTCCAGCTACTTACGTAAAAGAACTTTTGCACTCACAGAAGTGCATGATTCCAACAAGCAAACAAAACCCACCAGGAAATATCCAAATGATTAATATAACCTAACCATTCAAAATTTCTCAGCGTGTGACAGTTTGTTACATCCCAGCTGTAAGGGGATGGGAAGTGTGAGCGCTGTGTCTCGAGGCACACGTTAGGTAAAAGGTGGCAGAAAACAGGGCAGGGTAGGGTAGGGTAGGGTAGGGTAGAAGAGAGTAGGGTAGAATAAACATAATTAACAACCACCCTCATTATAAGACCTCAGCATTGCCACCACAAAAAAGGGAAAGCCTTCTGTACATGATGCACATGTACTACACATGTACCTTTCTACAAGCACATACACAGTGTGCTTATATCAAAAGATTTATTAAACATGGAAACAACAGCACGGGAACAGTCACAGCCGTGACTGCAGTCACTCTGAGCAGGGTATGCACGAATCCAAGAGTCCTCATTTCACATATAAAAACAACACCTCGAAGCTTTACTAGAGGAGATGTCTATTTACAGAACTGTGACCATTAAGCTCTCCCTGTACCATTTGCAATTACGTTTTAGCATGCATAACATAGCAGCAGCACTGAAATGACAGCTCTGACAGCCCTCCTTGTGTCACATCATATGGAATCTACTGAAAAATATTTCTATAATAAACATATCCACAATCTTAAAATGTGAACTTCTGCAACTAATGCAGTTTGCATTGGTTTCAAGGGAGGCCATTTAACACATTTTTATGCTTAAATGAGCAATTCTGTTTTCTTCATATTTACGCCTTGAAGACCCCATAAAGATGCCTCAGGGAATCAGGCACTTGGCTGGAGGCCTCGTTTTGACTGGATCCCATTTAAATAGATGTAAGCGCATCTGCAATCTGCAGATTTGGGTTTTGGTCTGCGCTGGCTGCGTGGATGAGAGAGGTAATGTGGGAAGAAGAGGAGATCTTAAAGCTAAGCTTGTGCATAATATTTACTGAATTTTGAAAGGAGAATATAGAGTGCCCATGCCTTTCCAGCCAGGTGAGGCATGAGCTGCAACAGAAGAATAAAGTGAAAAAGTTCCAACTCAGCACAGAAGACACTGAGAATCCAGGAAAACCCCTCTGACTTGATTTTGCACGCTCTGAGCCAAGTCCTTGCCCTCACCATAAAACAACACCAGGAGAAAAAAGAAAAAAAAGAAGACAGTACATACGTACATGAACTGCTATTACAGTACTGGTAATACCAGGCAGAGTCTAATGAAGACAGCAGTGTATTATGAATTCTCAGCCCCAATTGAGGCCCCACACTTTCACTTACACCATGTAGGCAGCACTGCACTTTCTCCGGGGCACACATACTCCTACGTGGGGACACGCAGCTCAGTGGGCACATAAAAGAGGTCCCATTCCTGGTACTCAGATGAACAACCTGCCATAGTACTGGTGGGGAATGTTCATCTTCGTATTTCTGACTTCAGTCACACATCTCACATGGTTCCACCCAAACTGTTGGCAAACATCTGCCACTTTCCAGAAATCTTTAGGAAAAGGTACCCAAAGGTAAAATGATGTAAAGAAAAATGACAATAAACGTAGCATGAGAATGGGGGTTGTGTGGGTACAGCTGAAAAGTAGGTATGTCTCTGTCAAGCTGGTTCTCAGGGTGGCATAGCAAGCCACAACTGCTATTTGTATGTCAGCGAGTGTAACCTATCAGACCAGTAGCAAAACCTGACCTGACCTCGCAGGCAGAGTTTGTAAGAGGGTAAGCAAAGCTCTTTGGGCTAGCTGAGGCTAGGGAGACTTGTGAGGGGACTTAAGGGATTTAAGCAGGCAGCACAATGGCCTATAAATTACAGTAGTTACAAACACGAGATTATCCACAGCGGAATAAATAATTATTCACACATCCTGTTAGGACAGACTGTCGCTACTCACTAACAGACTTGAGGATAATTACGACTGAAGGAACAAAGCTCCTTCAAATGAAGTCGTAGCAAACATGCAATAGTGTTAAGACTTAGAAAAGAATACGAAGCAGTAATTTTGACAAACATGAACTTTTTAAGCCGTAGTACCTTCCAAAGGCATGCAGGGGTAAAGCAGACGTTTCTGGAGGCTGCCTGGATCACAGCTTTCTGCGGGCGGAACGAACAGCAGAGCTGGGAGATTCACAGCTCCGCCGTGGAGCGGTGCGGACAGCTGTGCTGCTGTCAGGAATCAGATGGTTTGTGCTGCTGCTGCTCCAGCAAAGCTGTGGACGCGGCTGAAGGAAGCGCTCCCAGCAAGGAGGGGGGTTGGGGAATCCTTTGCTAAAGGCTCGTAGGTGCATAAGTAAAAGAAAGGGGAAGCGGAACGTGGTCAGACTGCTGTCAAGAGGCTGAGAAAGGAGGGGGGAGGGGGAGGGAGGAGAGATTATCAAAGTCATAAAAAAAAAAAAGGTTCTGATGCTTTCAAGGGAGAATGAACAGAAATGCATTGAGCACCCAGGGAGCTAGCAGCAAACAGAGCGAGCGTACTCCCTGCCCAGCAAAAAGCACCAGTGCTCTGCTCCTTGACTTGCCACGCTGCTGCTCTGTCATGCAATACAAAGTGGCCAGTTCCACCGCGTGAGCCTTTTAGGTGTGAGTGCTCAGTAAATATTTTAAGTTATGTCTGTATGGACAGAAGGTAGAGTTTTTTTATTCATATCATCTGAGGATAGCAGAAAGTACTTACAAATCTACTTTCCATATGTCAATATGCAATTAGAGGATCTAAATCTGTGGTGCAAGTAGAGCTCTCATATTGAAGATAACAAAATTGAGATACTGGCAACTCTTAAGATCAAACTCAAGATCTGTTATCATAATTAGCATATTTTCAGAACAGCCTAATTCAAAATGGGATAACAAGCAAGAGATGGTGTGTTACATATCTTTTTATAAGCTTCTGAGGAAAAAAAGAAGCTTAAGCTCACCAATACTGTACTGAAGACACACTTATGAAGCTCCAAAGGAAAATTTAAATTCATCATTATTGTTAACTTCAATGCAACTCTAAATTTTCCTAGAACAGATGCTATCTTACACACATAAAGTTTAAACTTCCACAGGTGGTTCATTGCCAGGAAGAGCTGGCAGCTCACCTCATCCTAAAGGACTTCATACTTTTGTATGCCCACAAATCTTAATACATGATGCAAAGAAAAACATTTTCCGAACAAAACAGACGTGCAGCTGGATTTAAGAGATTCAGTAAAAGGCAATGAATTTAACACCTGAGCTAATGCCTGGTCCCACCAAGCCTTGAGAGGAAGTCCAACTTTCTGAGAAGCTCAAAGAGATGCCCTGTCTGACAAAATCATGTAAATCTCAGCACTCTGCTGCTGCCATCGTCTCCTGCAAGCCTCTTCCACAAGCAGAACTGACACAGCCCCCTGACAAGAATCTCAGATGCTACAGTTCTCCACAGTCTGCATCCCAGCAAAAGAAAAGAAAATGCCCTACAGACAGTTAATCCTGGAGGAAGAGAGAACAGTCACAATTTACTTAAGTGATGACATATGGACATTTAGGACTCATCCTAAAATACAAACTTTCTTGTTCAAAGGATTTTGTTTCGACACAGCATTGGGCAACCAGTTGCACAATATTAAATTATAACCAGAGAGGAAAAACATCTTCTGGCTGGCTTGCAAATATTCCGTTAGGGAATTAAGGTAAAACTGATGGTCCCCAAAACTTTGTTAACAGAACTAAGGCTGACCATCAGACTTACCAACACTTGAATAGCACCGAGTACCACTACAGTTAAACCCCCAAGAGCAAACAGAAGCCCCTCCAGGATCCTTCTGAGTTGGCAAATGGCACCGGGGTATCCTGTGTCAGCCAAGGCTCTGTGACAATGAGCAGATGTGCAGACTGAATTAAGGAAACATGCTTTGTTTACAAGGTCTCCCGTATCTCACAGATCTACGCTCATGTCTGTATGAGTGTTGCTGTGCTGCAGACAGAAATGATTTCACATTGGTCTCTGAGTTACTGTGACCCTCGATGGGATCAGCAGTGACCCCTCACCCTCCTGCTCTTCATACCTGGGTGGAACTCGGGACAATTTGCAGCCATGTGGGGCACTGCTGTTCATCCACAAGCCGAGCGAACACACCTCTGCCTCCTTTCGTCATGAGAATCCTTTCCTACAAGCACACCTCTGCAGTTCTCTTCACATCCCCAGGAGACCTGCACATCCCATTGCCAAGGAAGAAAGCAAGTGCTGTGCTGATCATATCTACAGGTATGGTGCTTTAAGGTACGCGCTGCTTCTAATACTAAATGATGAAGGAGAAGGCCTGGAAAAAATCCCTCAGCCTCCTATTCTGCATAGAAGTGCTAAGGATCCCCTTCTTTCAGAGGAACCCAAAAATCCAGCAGAGATGAACAGAAGCTCTTCACAGCAGGAGAAATACGAACTCATGAATTCAACTCAACAGATGCTCTCCTCTTACATCTTCTCAGACTACATCTTCTTACATCTCAGACTTACATCTTCTCCTCCCAGACTACAATGGAACAACAACTGTCAAATAATTGTACTGTGCATCTCATCTTTTCAAGCACTCTGATTATTAAGAGCAGAGCTTGTCACTGCTGTTGACACAGGAAAACCCGGGTTGTGGCAGTTCTGTTATGGTCTGCTAGCCATAACCACTGCCTTAATGTGATGACCACTGACATGGCCTTAACAGGCGATCACTACTGCTATTTACTACGACTGCATTAAAGTTTTTCATTTAAATACTAAAAAGAAAGCAAAGAGGGTATCATTTGATTTTTGCCATGAGTTTCCTTC